TACTGGACGTTGGCTTCTCTCATAGGTTTGTGTGTCATTGTTACGTGGCTGAGACCGGCTTCTCACCTCCTCTTGCTGTTCTGGTTCACGTGGCTGACGGCGGCTTTCCTCATAAGGTCGAGGTTCACGTTCAAGTACTGGACGTTGGCTTCTCTCATAGGTTTGTGTGTCATTGTTACGTGGCTGAGAGCGGCTTCTCACCTCTTGCTGTTCTGGTTCACGTGGCTGACGGCGGCTTTCCTCATAAGGTCGAGGTTCACGTTCAAGTACTGGACGTTGGCTTCTCTCATAGGTTTGTGTGTCATTGTCATGTGGCTGAGAGCGGCTCCTTACCTCCTCTTGTTGTTCTGGTTCACGTGGCTGACGGCGGCTTTCCTCATAAAGTCGAGGTTCATGTTCAAATTCTGGACATCGGCTTCTCTCATGGGTTTGTGCTTCAGCGTTTCGTGGCTGAGAGCGGCTCCTCACCTCCTCTCGCTGTTCTGGTTCACAAAGTCTTCCCTCATACACTTGTTGTTCTGGCTCTAGGGACTGACGTTGTCTTCCCTCATACACTTGTTGTTCTGGCTCTAGGGACTGACGTTGTCTTCCCTCATGCCCTCGTGGCTCAGGCTCTTGTGGCTGAAAGCGGCTCCTCAGTTCTTCTCGATGGTCTGTTTCGAGAGGCTGACTGTGACTTCTCTCAAAAAGTTGGGATTCACGTTCAAGTATTGGACGTCGGTTTCTCTCATAGGTTTGTGTGTAAGTGTCATGTGGCTGAGAGCGGCTCCTCACATTCTCTCGCTGTTCTGGTTCAGCCCTCGTGGCTCAGGCTCTTGTGGCTGAAAGCGGCTCCTCAGTTCTTCTCGATGGTCTGTTTCGAGAGGCTGACTGTGACTTCTCTCAAAAAGTTGGGATTCACGTTCAAGTATTGGACGTCGGTTTCTCTCATAGGTTTGTGTGTAAGTGTCATGTGGCTGAGAGCGGCTCCTCACATTCTCTCGCTGTTCTGGTTCACGTGGCTGATGGCTTCTTCCCTCATACGCTTGCTGTTCTGGCTTTTGGGTCTGTGAGTGGCTCCTCACTTCTCGCTGTTCTGGTTCATGTGGCTGACGGTGGCTTTCCTCGTAAAGTTGAGGTTCACGTTCAAGTACTGGATGTTGGTTTCTCTCATAGGTTTGTGTGTCATTGTCATGTGGCTGAGACTGTCTCCTCGCCTCTGCTCGCTGTTCTGGTTGATGTGGCTGACGATGTCTTCCCTCATCCCCTTGTGGTTCAGGCTCTTGGGGTTGAGAGCGGCTCCTCACCTTCTCTCGCTGTTCTGGTTCATGTGGTTGACGGGGGCTTTCCTCATAAAACTGAGATTCACGTTCAAGTGCTGGACGTTGGCTTCTCACATAGCTTTGTGTGTTAGTGTCAGATGGGTGAAAGCGGCTCCTTATGTCCTTTTGCTGTTCTGGCTCTAGGGGCTGACGACGTCTTCCCTCATACACTTGTTGTTCTGGCTCTAGGGCCTGACGTTGTCTTCCTTCATCCCCTCGTGGTCCAGGTTCTTGTGGCTGAAAGCGGCTCCTCACCTCCTCTTGCTGCTCTGGTTCCCGTGGCTGACGGCAGCTTCTCTCATAAAGCTGGGATTCACATTCAAGCACTGGATGTTGGCTTCTCTCGTAGTTTTGTGTGTCAGTCTCATGCCACTGAGTGCAGCTCCTCACCTCTTCTCGTTTTGGGTCACGTGGCTGATGGCCTCGTCTCCCATACACTTGTTGTTCTGGCTGTTCGGGCTGAAAACGGCTCCTCACCTCCTCTCGCTGTTCTGGTTCACGTGGCTGACGGCTTCTTTCCTCATGAAGCTGAGCTTCACATTCAAGTCCTGGACGTTGTTTTCTCTCAAAGTTTTGCGTGTCAGCGTCATGTGGCTGAGAGCGACTCCTCACCTCTTCGTGTTGTTCTGGTCCACGTGGCTGATGGCGTCTTCCCTCATACACTTGTTGTTCTGACTCTCGGGGCTGAAAACGGCTTCTCACCTCACCTCGTTGTTCTGGTTCACGTGGCTGATGGTGGCTTTCCTCATAAAGCTGAGGTTCACATTCAAGTCCTGGATGTTGGCTTCTCTCATAGGTTTGCGTGTCAGTGTCACTTGGCTGAGAGTGACTTTTCACCTCCTCTCGCTGTTTTGGGTCATGTGGCAAATGACGTCTTCTCTCATCCCCTCGTGGTTTGGGTTCTCGTGGCTGAGAGCGGCTCCTCACCTCCTTTTGCTGTTCTGGTTCACAAAGCTGATGGCCTCTTCCATCATACACTTGTTGTTCTGCCTCTCGGGACTGAGAACAGCTCCCTGCTTCCTCATGCTGTTCTGTTACATGTGGCTGACGGTGGCTTTCCTCATAAAGTTGAGGTTCACGTTCAAGTACTGGATGTTGGCTTCTCTCATGGGTTTGTTTGTCATTGCCACGTGACTGAGAGCGGCCCCTCACCTCCTCTTGCTGTTCCAGTTCATGTAGCTGACGATGTCTACCCTCATCCCCTCGTGGTTCAGGCTCTTGGGGCTGAGAGCGGCTCCTCACCTTCTCTCGCTGTTCTGGTTCACATGGTTGTCGGCGGCTTTCCTCATAAAGTTCAGGTTCACGTTCAAGTGCTGGACGTCGGCTTTTCTCAAAGCTTTGAGTGTCAGTGTCACGTGGCTGAAAGCGGCTCCTCACCTCCTCTTGCTGTTCTGGTTCACGTGGCTGACGACGTCCTCCCTCATACACTGGTTGTTCTGGCTCTTGGGTCGGGGAACGTCTCCTTGCTTCCTCTCGTTGTTCTGTTACACGTGGCTGATGGCGGCTTTCCTCGTAAAGTTGAGGTTCACGTTCAAGTACTGGACGTTGGCTTCTCTCATAGGTTTGTTTGTCATTGCCACGTGGCTGAGAGTGGCTTCTCACCTCCTCTCCCTGTTCCAGTTCATGTAGCTGATGATGTCTTCCCTCATCCCCTCGTGGTTCAGGCTCTTCGGGCTGAGAGTCGCTGTTCTGGTTCACATGGTTGTCGGCGGCTTTCCTCATAAAGTTCAGGTTCACGTTCAAGTGCTGGACGTCGGCTTTTCTCAAAGCTTTGAGTGTCAGTGTCACGTGGCTGAAAGCGGCTCCTCACCTCCTCTTGCTGTTCTGGTTCACGTGGCTGACGACGCCCTCTCTCATACACTGGTTGTTCTGGCTCTTGCGGCTGGGAACGGCTCCTTGCTTCCTCTCGCTGTTCTGGTTCGTGTGGCTGACGGCGGCTTTCCTCATAAAGTCGAGGTTCACGTTCAAGTACTGGACGTTGGCTTCTCTCATGGGTTTGTGTGTCATTGTCACGTGGCTGAGAGCGGCCCCTCACCTCCTCTCGCTGTTCTGGTTCAAGTGGCTGACGATGTCTTCCTGCATACACTTGTTCTGGCTCTTGGGTCTGTGAGTGGCTCCTCACTGCCTCTTGCTGTTCTTGTTCACGTGGCTGACGGTGGCTTTCTTCATAAAGTTGAGGTTCACGTTCAAGTATTGGACGTTGGCCTCTCTCATAGCTTTCTGCATCAATGTCACGTGGCTGAGACTGGCTCTTCACCTTCTCTCGCTCTTCTGGCTCATGTGGCCGACAGCCTCTTCCCTCATACACTAGTTGTTCTGGCTCTTGGGGCTGGGAACGGCTCCTTGCTTCCTCTCGTTGTTCTTGTTCACGTGGCTGATGGTGTCTTTCCTCATAAAGTTGGGGTTCAGGTTCAAGGACTGGACGTCGGCTTCTCTCATAGGTTTGTGTATTAGTGTCACGTGGCTGAGAGCGGACCCTCACTTCCTCTCGCTGTTCTGGTTCACGTGGCTGATGGTGTCTTTCCTCATAAAGTTGGGGTTCAGGTTCAAGGACTGGACGTCGGCTTCTCTCATAGGTTTGTGTATCAGTGTCACGTGGCTGAGAGCGGACCCTCACTTCCTCTCGCTGTTCTGGTTCACGTGGCTTGTGGTGTCTTTCCTCATAAAGTTGGGGTTCAGGTTGAAGCACAGGACGTCGGCTTCTCTCATAGGTTTGTGTATCAGTGTCACGTGGCTGAGAGCGGCCCCTCACCTCCTCTCGCTCTTTTGGCTCTAGGGGCTGACGTTGTCTTCCCTCATCCCATTGTGGTTCAGGCTCTCGTGACTGAAAGCGGCTCCTCGCCTCCTCTTGCTTCTTTGGTTCACGTGGCTGACGATGACTTTCCTTGTCAAGCTGGGATTCACGTTCAAGTACTGGACGTCGGCGTCTCTCATAGGCTTGTGTGTTGGTATCACGTGGCTGAGAGCGGCTCCTCACTTCCTCTCGGCGTTCTTGTTCATGTGGCTGATGGCGGCTTTCCTCATAAAGCGGAGGCTCGTGTTCAAGTACTTGACGTTGGCTTCTCTCATGGCTTTGCGTGATGTCACGTGGCTGAGACCGACTCCTCACCTCCTCTCGCTGTTCTGGGTCATGTGATTGATGACGTCTTCCCTCATACACTTGTTGTTCTGGCTCTAGAGATTGTTGTCGTCTCCCCTCATCCCTCCGTGGTTCAGGCTCTCGTTCTGGGTCCTCAGGATGTCTTCTTCTGCCAACTCTTGGTTCAGGCTCACATAACTGATGGCTCCTCCCTCTATCTGCTTTTGCTTCAAGCTCATTCAGCTCTTTACCTCTTCTTCCCTGCTCCTGCCTTTCCTGGAGCCCTGGTTTTGGTGCCAAGTAGCTGTAACAGGCCTGAGCCACTCTAAATGACAGAATCAGGAACTCGGGGAAGTCTATTGATCCGTCACCATCCTGATCAAGGAGCCGCAGCACCGTGTCTATCATC